GATTCATATAAGCGCAACTCAAGCTACTTAGCTTGGGAAAAATACTTGCCTCCAAAAAAATAAAAAAGAATAAATAAAATGAAATACTACTATATAAACAAAAAATAATTGAAGAGGTAGGTTCATTTAAGTAGTAAGCTAATAGCAAGCCATTCGAGCTCAAAGTAACTAAAATGATAATTAGCTTAAAACTTTACGTAATGTCAAATTAGCTTAGCATTAAAGTTGCTCCGAAGATCTTTCAACAATGAATGAACCTAAACAACAACATAAAAATAGCTTGTTTTAATTAATAAATAAACTAGTAAAAATTCTTTAAACTAGCTAAAATGCAAAAAAGACTTAAAAAGATGGATGGCAGTTGCAGTATTGACAAAACTAAGTAAGTCGGAAAGACAATTGAAAGTTGGAAAGATCATTGAAAGCCGAAAGCTAATCATACAACCTTCAATTTTTTTTGTTGGTATCTAGTTTACTTTTGTAGATTTCCTTTTGTTGGTTACACCCTAATTTTTTTTCTTCTATTTTGACAAACTGATTTTTTATACGTACTTTCTTTTGCCACATTATTCCCTTACAAAAAAATTAAAAATAAAACCTCTTTATTGTCGAAACAATATACTTATAATTATACACACACTTCTCTTTTTTTTTTTTTTTTTTTCTTACATGTCTTACTTTCTACATCAGTTAGCTAGCATTAGTGGTTTTTTGGTAGCAGTGTAGCACATTAAAATCTACAAATCTCAAGTTTATTGTATGAACTATTTAGTTGAAACTTATTATGTTCAACATACCAACATATGATTAGGACATGTTTTGATTCACTGAAGTGAGCTGAGCTGAACTGAACTGAACTTAATAGAGCTAAAATGAACTGAATTGAATATTTTATGAGAGAAGGAAATTAAGAACTGAACTGGACTTATTGAATTGGAGCTGAACTAAACTGAAAATAAGCTGAAGGGAACACACCCTTAAATTAGATATATCTTCATTATATTATGTTTGAAATTTAATCTATATAGCTATATCTATAAGACTATAATTCTATACACTAAGTGTATATAGTACAAGTATTAAAAGGTGTTTTTGAGAAGTTTTACGTGTTACATGACACTCTACCTCACGCAATGTTTTTCATTTCATATTATCAACTTACAATCTTAAAGAAAAAAATTGTAAATAATCTAAACAAGACCTGAACATAAAAACTCATTTTATTAAAATGTGTCTTCTCATGTCTTTTCAGCTACTGCAAGGTCTACTGTACAACTTTCCATGTAATTAAATTGTGTGAGCCTAACCCTTAAGGCCTTAATCATTAACTAAAACTATAGATTAAATCATATATTACTTGTCAAACTTAAACATTACATTAGATAAAAATGGAATTAAAGCTTTAAAGTTTACAGTAAAAACATTATAGAACAGGACACGTGGCATAGACCTAAAGGCCAATTATCAAAAGACAATTAATTTAGTGGGATTATGATGATTATTATGGCGATAATGGGCACGTTAAAATGTCTTTCTTCCTAAGAAAAAATAATTAATAAATAACCAAAAATGTAACGTGGACAGTCACGTGGCAACAAACCTTGTGCCTGAGAGAATTGAGGAAGAGCTCGTGGGTCCCTTTAACAATCAATTAATTCAGTTTTAACTTTATAATGTCAGGAATGGCAGCTTCTAATAAAATTTTACCAAACCAATTAAGCAAAGAATAATTAACAAGATCACATGCATTATAAATTAATCTGTACCAAATCTAAGTTATTTTTGTGTGCATTTCTCCCTGATTTTTCTGTCAAGATATCTTTGTTTCTATTTACATGAATCAGATCAATAAAATGTGGTTATATTTGCACTATATAATATATATATATATATATATATATATATATATATATATATAGTATTAGGAAAATTGACTTAAAATGATTCCAATAACGGTGTGTGCAAAATAATACAACTTCAACTATTTACTAATAGCAGTACAACTTTTTGTACTATATGTGCAAAATAATACGCTAGCCATCGAAAAAAGCATTTTAAGACATATTTCGTCCATATTCATTATTAAATTATTTTTGTTATAATTTTTTTATTGATCACTCATGCTTATCTCATTGTTAGGCTAGTAAATTAATTTCTGTAAAGAAAACAAAAAATTCTACTATCAAACAAAAGTAAATAGGGTATTTAAATACATTGCTATTTTAAAAAAGTGATTAGATTACATAAGCGAACAAATTATGCTTTAGATTTAAATAAATCGTAGTAATTTAACAGATTTTCTTTATAAAACAACTATATGTTCTTTACAATACAACTATATGTTCATTTAAAAAAAAAACTATATACATGTAACAACTATATGTTCATTTTGCCTTAAAAAAAATGAAAATTAAAAATCCAACCTTAAATTTTTCCCAAAAAAATCCAACTTTTATACCTTATCTTTACCAACAAATCCATTTAACCTTTTTTTTTTTTTTTGAAAGAACAAATCCATTGAACCTAAAACCTATTAAACAGGTTAAAATGTTTTTTTTTTTAATTATTATTCACTCTCCTCCTACCTCCACATCCCCCATCCATAACCACCACCCCAAAAACACCTGAACTGTCCCTCACCCCTAGGGATGGCAACGGGTCGGATCTGGACCGGGTCCGGATCAGGGTCCAAAACGGATCCAATATATTTTGCCTAATTTTTTTGCAAAAAATGTAATGTTCGGGTCAAAAAATTTATTTCAAACTTACGTTGTTGGTTATTAAGTTCAACCCCAAATAAACCAACTTATACACTCATATTTTGAATTAAAATTAAAAACAACAAAAAAAAAATATGATGTTACATATGAGCTAGTGAAAAAACAACGATGATGTATATAATATGAGCATCCAAAATTCATCTCTTGAAAGGGTTAATCTTTATCATTACTAACATTATCAACATTTTTAATAAAGAAACAAAAAATTTTAGTTTTTTTAAATAGGAAAAATAAAAAAACGGGTCCACGGATCTGGATCCGAGTCTAGGGCCCAGATCCAGATCTGTTTTTGTCAGCAGGACCCAGATCCGACCCGGATCCGTCGGGTCCACAATTTGAAGACCCAGATCCGTGAAAAACGGAACTGGATCCACGGATCAGGGTCGGGTCTAGATCCATTACCATCCCTACTCACCCCTTGTTGCCACCCTCTTGCCCCCCCCCCCCCCTAAAACCCCTAACACCTCCTGCTGCCCTGAATTCCTATCCCACAAAATTATGTTTGTTTGGCATCTTTTTTTGTTTTCAGCTTCCTTTTTTTTAAACCAAAAACCAAAAAAGGAAACAAGAAAAAGGTGTTTCCACTAATCTGTTGTCAGTTTTTAAAATTATCATGATTTTAATAAGTTTAAATCATTTTTTATTCATTGCGGGGCATATATCATATACTTTTAAAAAAACAAAAAACCAAAAAACAAAAAACCAAAGCAATGCCAAACGAACCCTTTGTATTTTACAAATTGCAGTCATTTTATTAAAAAATTGCAAATTGCGGCCCAAAAGTACTACTCCCTCCGTTTTTAAATACTTGCTCCACCACTACGCCAAAAACATTATATAACAGCATATGATTTATAGCGGTTCAACTAAAACCGCTCTAAAAAGTACCTCCATTAACTTCTAATGGCGGTTTTGGGTTTTAAGGAAGTTTTTAAAGCGGTTATAATAGAACCGCTATCAAAAGTAAAGAAAAAGGGCGCCTGAAATTAAAGCCTACAACCCGCAAAAACTCAAAACCCTCGCAAAAACTCAAACCCTTGCAAAAAACTCAAAACTACCAACCCTCTCAAACCCTCGCAAAAAACTCAAACTGAAAACCCTCTCAAACCAGAATCCCTCATCCGGCAACCTCACTACCTCCGGCGACGTCACTACCGGTCCGGCAACCTCCCTTTCTCTGTTTCTCTCTCCTCTCCTCCATTACTCCCTTTCTTCGCCATCTTCGTCGCCATCTTCGCAACTCTAAGACTCCAATCTGCAGGTTCGAAATTCTTACTTCTTATTATCGATTTTCTGTAATTTTTTTCGAATTTCACTTCTTATCATTTTTTGGTGGATGATTTCGGATTAGGGTAAGAGGAATTCGAGTGAGGTAAGGTTTGAAGAGGAGTTTTGATGTGGTTGACGTTTCTGTTTTCGTTTGCGAGGGTTTTTATATGATGTTAGTAGTAGTAGAGTAGTGGTTAGTTGCTTGGCGTGGAATTTTAGTCATTGGCAAAGGAAGGAAATGAGAGTGAATAAAATAAAGGGGAACAAAATGATGAAATTTGGTTAATTTGTTGAATTTGTTGTTGGATGTACTTTTTTTTGTTGAATGTAATTTGATATGCATTTTTACTTTGTTGAATTTCTATTTTTTTGGTTGAATGTGTTTCGAATATCTGTTTTATTTATTTATTTTTGAATTAGCTTGTTGAATATATTATGAAATTGTAGTTCTAATAGCCTCAAACCCAAATCTTCCGATTCATGAGTTTTCCTAAAACCCAAGTGTTTCATGATTTTTGTTGTAGATTCTAAACAGCCCAACAAAGACAAGAGCACCTTTGGCAAGTAAGACTGGACGAGGCGAGTCTGTGGACTCCGCTCTGGTCTGTGAGGACGACTGGACGAGGCGAGTAAGGCGACCCTTGGCCGCGGCGAACAGCACCGAGTCACCGACGACAGCTGACTTAGTTCAGTTTAATCAGAGGTTAGTTTTCTTTTGTATTTGTTGAATATTTGATTGTATTTTAGTTTGTAAAGTTGTATTTTGTAATTGTAATTGTGAATTTGTGATTGTAATTGGAAATTTGTGATTTGTGATTTGTGATTTTGTGATTGTTGATTTGTTGTTGAGGACTTGAATTTGTGATTGAAATTGGAAAAATAAAGAAAGATACAAAATGAAAGAAAATGAGATTAAATTTCTTTGAAATTAAAGAAGGAAGAAAAAGAAAATAGAATGAAGTTTTTGAAATTGAATTTTGGACTAGTAAAATTGTTGCGATACAACTGTACTACATACAGTGCAATGTACATTAGACATTTGAAGGTGGTGATTTTTTCATGAGCAACTTTTCAGGATTATTTCATCTTTTTATTTTTCTTTTGATTGATTTGGCACATATGCAAAAGGGTAAGTTTGGATATGTTCTGTGTGCGCTCTTCTTTTGAGTTTTGCCTAAACAAGATAAAGGTTATTTTACAAGTCACATTTCTTTGTATTAACACACAGTAAGGTAATTTTGCCATTTTTGTTGGTTATTACGGTTGAAATTGGAAAATGGTGTAAGATACAAAATGAAAGAAAATGAGATTAAATATTTAATGATTAAATGTAAGACAAAATGATACAACCGTTTGATTTGTAATTTAATTAGCACATACACTTTATTTTTTTTGTTGGTTTTGATATGTAGACACATTTTTTCACTAACATAGACAGGATTAATAAAGGCTACGTGTGTATTGTTATTGCTACATCATAGTTGTCATGGATCGAAATTGGATGCATGCTCGGTTTAATAGTGATGAGTATGAGCATGGAGTAGAAGAGTTCATTGAATTTGCAAGAAAACATGCTGAGGACGCAACACATATTTTATGTCCATGTGTTGATTGTAATAATATGGTTCGACTTAATATTGAGGACGTAAAAGTTCACTTGATGGCTAAAGGCATTAATCAATTTTACAAGTGTTGGTTACATCATGGTGAGATATTAGGGGAGGTTCCTAATGTGCACGGTATGATGGATTTTGAAACTGGGATGGAAGTAGAGATGGATGGAGAATCTTCCGGTGAAGATATGAGTTTGAAGAAATGGCAAAAGCTTTGGAAGAAAACTTTGCAGATTGTCCGGAGATGTTTGATAACTTGTGTAGTGATGCAAAGAAACCTTTGTATTCGGGATGCACTAAATATAGTAGATTATCTGCTATTATCAAATTGTTTAATGTCAAAGCAAGTAATGGAGTAATAGATAAAGGCTTTGCTGGTTTCTTAGATGCAATACATGACATGCTCCCACATAGAAACCTACTTCCAACTCGCACCTATGATGCTAAAAAGATGCTAAGCTCTATTGGCTTGACTTATGAAAGAATCCATGCATGTCCAAACCACCAAAACAATACGATTTCATCAAGTTAAATGACTGGACTGAATTTGTAACAAGTCGGCTAAAAGAAGAATGGGAGGTAATTAACGACTTGATTGTGTAGTATAGATACTTTCTACCACACCTATATTGACCATTTTGTAATCATCATTTGACGAATAGGAGAAGAGTGAAGCTGCTAGAAAGTCTGCAAAAGGAAATATTTATCCTCAAAAACGAGCTCGTAGAGGATATGCTCGATTTGAGCAAGATGTTGTAAGTTAACATTCTTTTATAATCTATGTTGCAATATCTTTGACCCACAAATTATACCTACAACAAGAATTATTTGTGTTTTTCTCATCTTGAGGAGTTGGCTAAGAAAGGCATCTATGAATCGTCCTTAGGCCGAGGACAGCAGTGGAAGTTAATCAAGAGGGGTAAGGATGGAAATGTTTTTGATGAAGGAGCAAAATCAGTAGCTTCACGTATTGTATGTATTTTATTTCAATAAGTTTTTATTTTTAAGTAATTGTTATTTCGATTACCAAGTTGTTCATGGTATAGTCATTGATACATGATTACTTTATGAGTTTGTATGAGCAAGGAGGGATGGAAGACATTGGGCGAGGAGATGTGTTGTCAAGGGCGTTGGAGAAAAAAGAGCACGGTGGTCGTGTCATAGGTGTTGGAGTAGGAGTGACTAATACGAGCTACTTTGGAATGATTCAAACAAAGAAGGAATATATGGATCAAGTCAGAAAATTGTGCTCTCGTGTGCAATCATTGGAAAGCGAAATGAAAAAGATCAAAAAGATTAATAATGATGAGGAAACATGTCAAAACGGAGAGGAAGAGGATGATTGTCAAGCCACACAAAAGCATGGGGACAAGGAGGATTGTCACACTTGTCAAAATTCTGATTTCGATTGTCAGCCTTCTGAAATCAACATCCCACAGGTTACCTAAAATTGTATTCTGGTTTTGTATTGTGGTTTTGTACCAAAGTAGCTGTACTAAAATTTCATATTTTGTTTTATATAGGGTATAACTCCTTGCCAATTAGCGTTGTTGCCTCAGGGAAGGTTCATAACTTCAGAATGGAAACTATGGTGCATAATACACCAATACCATCAGGATATGTGAAAGTTGGTATTGACTACGATGTAGAGGAGAATACACCTTTGCCAATGTCAATCGAAGGAGTAGATGATGTGATCAAAGATGCAATAGGCAGTATCGTGTTATGGCCCATAGAACTTATTGTTCTAGATAAGGTGATACAAATTCTTCCTTGAATTGTATAATATTTTTGGCGGTTCCATGTTTATTTTATTGTTATGTTGAAAGGTTATGAACCCTTTAGAAGAAAAGGATAAAGAAGAAGGCCAAGATAAACAAGGGAAGGATAAACTAGGCAAGGAATCTATAAAACCACGACCAGTGACATGTCTACGCAAACGAAAGCCACAAAGTCTAGAAAACTCAGAAAAGGTAAAGAATCCATTAACTCTTGATGCATTTTTTATAAATCACACAAAGGCCTTATTTTTCTTGTATTTTAAATCTAATAAGTTATTTTCTTTATAGCTGGTTAAAGTTCATGAAGGCCATGAAAAATGCTCTAATGCAAACAATGAACCCATTGAGTCGCAAAAGGTTAATCACCCATCAAACCGAACACCTACTTCACCTCCCATTCAATCACAAAAGGTTAATTTAATAGAACTCGAGTTTCTTTTCAGTAGTTAGTTTTTGCTGAGTAATTAGTTTTTTAACATATTCATATTGCACAATGTGTGTTTTTATTAATAGGAAATGAAATCGTTTGACAATGAGAAGGAAAAGGTTGATCGATGTATTGAAGCATTAGTTATTGCAAATGCTCAACCAGAGATGATAATGTTTTTCAAGTATGCTGCAAAAATTGCTTTAGATGAACAAATTAGAGTTCCCATTGATATTGGGATACGAAGTCAGTGCAAGGAGGTGTATCTTGGTACGGAGGAAATTTTTGATTTCCTTGTACAAGACTAAATCGGACTTTGTCATATGAAGATATATATGTCGTAAGTTTCGATACCATTGAACTACAAATTCTTACTTAGTAGCTTACAAATTTTAATTATTTTAATTACTTGTAGAATTACCTCGCTAACTCACTTGCCTCGTTATTTGTTTTCAAATGAATTAGAAGGATGTATTCGGTTGCTGGCATTAGTGGTGTCTCTTCCTTTTTTGGTTTTATATGTCCATCTGGGATATCACAAGTGACTCAATTTCAAAAGGGGGACATGAAGAAGATCAAGGATCACAATATGAAAAGAAGTCACTACATGGTGGATGTCTTTAAAGACAATGCATCAAAAGGAAAAAATTTCCTCGCTCCATATAATGCCGGGTACCCTTTTTTTTTGGTGATATTATCGTTCCCATGTCTACTCTCAATATTCATTTTTTATTTGTCTCAAATAGGATGCATTGGGTATTGTGTGCTATTGATCCTTTCAATAACATCGTATACTACTTTGATTCCTTACACAATGAAGAGGAAATAGGCACGAGAAAAGGCGTTAGTGAGGATTTGCGTGAAATCATAGATGTGTATGTGCTTTTTTCTTATCAACTATAACTACCTCCATTGACACATTAACTTTATGTATGTCTACTTAGTTTGGTCTATTTATTTCTTTAGTGCTCTGTTTCAATTTCGGAGTGAAATGGAAATTGCAACGAAATTGAAGATGGATACTAAATGGAAGACAATAAAGGTATTAACAATTTGATAATTTAGTGTAGATATGAAATGATGAAATGTATGTATGAGTTCTTACTTAGTTTGTTATAAAAAATGTAGTGTCCTCGCCAGAGCAACGGAGTTGATTGTGGCTATTATGTGATGCGATATATGAAAGAGATTATCTCACACAAACGCACCAAGATTCCCGAAAGTGTAAGTTTGTATTTGTGTCAATTGTGTGGTTTTACTGCCATATTCTTCCAAGTTTTACTACCATGAGCTATTGTTCATTGTCCTATGCTGTTGTTGTTTGCTAGCTGCTGCTCGCTGTTGGTGTTGTTGCTTGGTTGCTTCTGGTGTGTTGCAAGTGTTTGGTGTTTTGTTCTGCTGGGTGTTGCTGTGTTGTTGTTTTTTTGTTGTTGTTTGCTGCTGCATAGTGTATGTGCTGCATAGTGTGTTGCTGTTGTTGCTTAGTGTTGTGTTTGAGATAAGATAATGGTTTGATTTCGGTTTGGGTTATACTTTGAATTATCATGGATTTGTTATTGATGTTGATATTATCCTAAGCAAATTGTTTTTTTATGTAGTATTTAGCAGGATGCCAGTTTTCCCATTACGATGAAACTCAACTTGATGATGTTAGACTTGAGTGGGTGCGTTACGTGTTTCAACATATCTAGTCTAAAAGAGTTGTTATAAGTAAATCACTCTTATTTTCCCAAAGTTTGAGTTTCGATGCAAAAAAGTACTATACATCTTGGGAAAATATTTTTTGTAAAGGAACATTTTGTAAAGGTGATGAATTGTGTTGGGAAAATATTTTTTTGTAAAGGAACATTTTGTAGAGGTGATGATTTTGTAAAGGAACATTTTTCTTTTTTGTAAATTATTATTATTATTATTACAGGTTTTGCTATATTATTATTGAATTATTTAGTAATTCAATTTTTTTTTTAAAATAGTTTGCAAACTTATAATAGCGGCTACAAAAATTATACTATTTATCAAAGCATATTTATTATAATTTTGGTGTTTGAACCTTTTAACAGCGGTTGTAATGAAATTTGAATTTTGGCGCAAAAGGCATTATTTAATGGCAGTTACAAAAAGTACGCCATTATAGAAAACTTTTCCCACTTTTTCTGATTAATGTTTTATAGCGGTTATACAACCGCCATTAAAAGTGTCATATCCTTTTAACATCGTTTAGATGAATGGCGGTTGGGTAACCGCTGTTAAAGGGTATTTTAACCGCCATTAAAGCCAATTTTTGGCGTAGTGCACTTTCCTTTTCCGACCGTTTTTAAATACTTGCTCCATTTCCTTTTATGGAAAGCTTTTACAATATTTAATTCATTTCTCACAATTAGTGGACCCAACATAATACTCTCTCTCCTCCTATTCTTCCACTACTTTTGCTTTTTTTATTTTTTTGTTTATTTTCTCAACTACCCCACTACCTCCATATTTTATTACTTTCTCCAATTTCTCTTAAAACTCCGCGCATGGAGAAATGGAGCAAGTATTTAAAAACGGAGGGAGTAATTAATTGTAAAATACAACCCAATAATTCAATTTTTTTATCGATTTGCGTGTCAAAAAATTTTCATTAAGTTTTTAAGGGCTATTAGTTCTTAAGAGTCCAAATTGAGCTTAAAATTGACAAAAAAATTAATGTAAGGGACTCGTTTTCACGACAAAAAATAGTTGCACAAAATTGATACATTTTTTATAAGCAAAATGAGGCATTTATGCTTTTTTTGTCAATTCCGAGGTCACTATAGATTCTTAAGGACTAATATGACCCCTAAAACCTTACCGTTTTTTTGGCATGACAATCGATGAAAAAATTGAATTGAGTTGCATTTTATATGATTATTTTTATGAAAACGTGATTGTGATTATGTGGAAAAAAAATGAGATAGTAGCTCCGGAAGTAAGACAAGAAAGAGAGTCGGTAATGCAATAGCCCATCTTGGCATGTTGTTCCGAATTAGTTTGTATAAATGTTTTTCTCCAAATTCTCACAACTTTGGTGGAATTGTATTCGAATTTAGGGAAATTATCAATGGTACACCCAAGGTTCGGGCTTTTATCAATGGTACACCAATTTAGTTTTTGTTTATTAGCGGTACACCCAAGGTTTAATATAATACACTCATCTACAGTAACCCTAACGTTAATCAAACGTTATTTAAAGGTTAATTTTAGGTTAATCCACTTAAAATGAAATGACTACTTTGCCCCCCTACCCCACATACATTAAATCGCTCCTTTAAAACATCAACTATCTATATTAAAAATTCTTAAGTCAGAAGACGTTCATCTTCTTCTTCCTTCTCACTCTCTCCCCTGTTTCTGCTGTTGTGAGGTTCCATAATCGACGGGCGAATTGAACAAAATTCTAGCAAATTCTTCACTTCATAGTTAATCGCTTAAGGTAAGTTTTCAATCTTTTCATATGAGTCTTTGATTTTCTGACTTTCGCTTAGTTTTGGTAGTATATGAATTTTTTGTTTAAATGGTTGAATTATGGTTTCCATGTACAATTGTTAGCGAATTATGGTTTAAATTATGCACAATATGCCTGTGATTATTATTTGTTGCTTTATTGTTGTATTTTTTTGCACAAATAATTCGAATTGGGTGTGTTTGAGTAGATATATGTATGTTTGTGTGTGAAAAGGGAAAATCAGAAAGGAGGGAAACTATATATAGAGGAAGAGGGGGTGGGTAGGGTAGACTACATAAAGGAGGGAAAATGAAGAGGGAAAAAAAGGGAGGAAATTTTTTTAAGTTAAAAAAATCGAATTAAACCCCAACTTAACGTTTGTTTAACGTTAATTGTATAGTTGATAATCGTGTGAAACCTTGGGTGTACCGCTGATAAACAAAAACTAAGTTGGTGTACCATTGATAAAAGTCCGAACCTTGGGTGTACTATTGATAATTTCCCTTGAATTTATAATATGTTGGTGCCTTTTAAGACGAGAATTAAAAATATAAGTATAATAAAAATAAAAACCTTTGAATTATATATATATATATATATATATATATATATATATATATATATATATATTTGACAAAGGATTAATTTGCATAAATTGAAATAGTTCACTCTAAAACAATAAGAACTAGGCCTATTAAGACCTTTACAACAAAGCTACGAGCAACACTTGCTCTTATGAACGCTAGAAACCATAACAACTTAAAAGAAACTGCTATCCTAGTTATCCCCTGAGTGTTGGAACCACTGTGTAGGTAACCTCGCCCTGATTCTAGCGAGACGAAGCCTACATTACATGTTGTTCCCGATGTCCTTTTTTCACCAAGGGAGAAGCTTGGATAATTGACCACGCTGGATACTCTTTGTAACCTGTGGAGCTTGAACAACAAAACCAAAGCAAGAAACGACAGGAAGGTAATATCACTGTAATAAGTAACTTGATTTCTCTCCTTTAAAGAAAAGAAATTCATGATTAGTAGCATACCATGAGTACAGATTTGAAATTTTGAATGTAATGAGTACAATCCCCATCACAAACCTGAAAAAACTAACAAAACTCCAACTATAAAAATTAGAGCCAACTAACAACGAAGCTAAACACGAAACCTTCAAGTCGTACACTCGCAAACCAAACAGATTAAAAGCCATTACCAAATGACTTTCACCCAATTTGTTCTTCAAGGCAAACCCAAAATTACTTCCCCTTACCTCTTCAAGATTGGACAAGCCCACCATGGCCATCCAACAAGAAACCAAACATGGACACATAACAGGGAGAAAAACAAACCAACAAAACCAAAAGGGAAAACATTCAACCAAGGAGCAGCAACTTATACTAAAAAAGAACATACTAGCTTCCAAAAGGAAGAACCAAGGAGAGAAGACTTACAGAGCCTATATCAGAGCACCAAAATAACAAAGAAGAAAACCAGAACGGAGAATTTCGAAATTGATCGGAAATCTACAAAACTCTAACCCTAACTTCACCAATTACCGTCGAGATTTCCTTTTTTTTTTTCCGGTAATCCCCTGACGGCGGCGTTAAAGTTAGCCCAAGACCCCTTATCGTCAATTTCGTCCCCTTAACACACGGACAGGTAACCACGACCCTTCTTCTAAGCAACGCGAATGCCCGGTGGAAAAGGCTTCCTCGTCTCCTTATCTAGCTTAAGCCAACAAAAACAAAAACAAAAACAAACTCTCCGGTGAGAAGAGGGTAGAACTAAACGGAGGTCGAACCTCTTCGTGGAGCTTGTTTCCGCCTCAACTTCACCACACGAACAAGAGCTATTGAAAACTAGAGAAAAAGGAAAGAGAACTCGCCGGAGAACCGGCCGCGGCGCCGGAACTCCGGTGAGTTCTAGGGTTCAAGGCTTTTATTTTTAGGAGAGAGAACAGAGCGTTTCGAGAGAACCCTTGAATTATATATTAAAGAGCATATATAACTGAAAAATGTTTATCTATTTTGAGATAACCTTCCTAAAAAGTGTTATCTACTCGATTACCCAATCATATAGTTTTCTTTCAATTAATATGCATTGTCAAGAAATCAATATTTTTATTAAAAGATAAAGTAAATATTTCCATTTTGTTTTGCATTATTTTGAATAGTTAATAAAACAAAATTTATAGTTTAATTTCAAATATTAATTTTCAGTTTTTTTTACAATTACGAGCAATTTCAGTAGAAAAATGGGAGGGTTAACTATATTAAAAAAATATTAATTATTTATTCAATTCATTTTTTTTTGAAACAAACGCTTGCTGATTATCATTATAGGAGATCAATTTCCGCCAAAGTTGTCAAACTTTGGAGAAAGGATCAAGGAAAACACATTCATTACAATCCCTAGTATCCCATCGTGCAACACTATGGGCTAGGATGTTACCCGCTCGCTTAACATGAGTAAAACGAAAAGAACTAAAACACGAAGCCAAACTAGAAATATCATCATACAATAGAAAGATAGAAGAGAAGCCTTTTGCTTTCGAATTTACTGCCTTCACCACACTTGCTGCATTTAATTCAAAGTGAATATGATTTATTCAATTCATCATTTGAAAAATATGTTAATAAAAAAAAACTCATAACTATTTGCTTATCCTTTATCGTTTAATTTAACATTTTCATCATTTTAACAATAAATAAAAATTAAGATAGTGATTTAATTAGAAAGAATAAATGGAATTTTATTGCTGATACATGACATAATATATATTAATGTAATGCTTTGCTTGGATGTGCATTTAATTTGAATTTCAGGATTTGACTCAATTTACTTGTTTGGGAATCAGAAAATTTTAAAATTGAATTTGAATCAATTTCCATATTAATTCATCTAATCTCTAAATACAAAATTTGAAATCTTATTTAACAGATTAGTCATTTTTTATTTATTTTACTATCATAAATTTCTCTCATCCCATTAAAAATAGCAGATTATGAATCTTTAACAAAATGTATTACTCTTTTCTTCATCCCAAATAATTTTTTAAATATGTATTTTAGTTTATTTTTGTTGAACATAAAATCGGGCACATGAACATGAAAAAATTATTGCACTAAATTAATAAGTTAAAGAGGACCAATGCTTAATAATATTAATTTTTCTGTGTTAATTAAAACCACTCACATAATGTATAAATTGATCCTTAACGCCTATTTATAGGCCCCTTAACCCTACTCCAGAAACTTCTATTCTAGAGGAAGTATTTAAAGAAACTCTTTATACATGGAGGTTTTACTTAGTATCATTACAAAATACCAAGTATGTACCAAGATATTTTAGACACTTTCAAACTAAAAACAATGACTGCTACAAGCCTACAAATGACACTTCAAGAATACAAACACTTATTTACGGGCCTCACCTTACAAAATTGACGCATCATTATACTAGTATTAATTCCCAAAATAGGGACCCCCAATTTTAAGCTCATTTGAAGTCCTTTTAGGCCTGAAAGGGCTCATTAGTCATTATACAAGTCCAAGAATACGTGCGGACTCCAGGACTATGTTCATTTGGCTTTGCTCTGGATCTTATGTCCTACAGAGGGGTCATACACCAAACATTTTCATAGTTTGATTGCACTACTACTACATCGCTTTTTATTATATGAAAGTATGGAACACTTCTCTTATCACGTATAGAGCACACGAATACACGATAACTGGACATTACTATTAACAAACACAACATTAAAATACAACATAAAGTGAGCTTATTTGCTTACTCCATATACGTCTTCCTTAGATGTTGACAATGTAAAACATATGCAACAAATAATCTGTCAACACCCCTAAATCATTTTACATACATTGAATGTAAAAATACAATTTTGAAATGGCAACACACATTTTCATCTTATTATAATCCATATACATCATCAATCATTCATCAAATAAAAAATGTTTACAAAATGAACCCCAAAAATCAGCCAAGAAAGAGAATAGGCTGTCGTCCGTCAAGCAGGCTACAAGAATATTGCTACTCTTATTAGTTGTCAACGAACAAAAAATATGAACTAATGCGAATTCACATCAGCATGCACAATTAAGGGCATGAGTTAAAAAGTCACCGATAGTACACTACAGATAAGCACCGCTGCTATAATTTATAAGTGGAGCTCACTACACTAATTGCTATTTACAAGGGGGCATAACCACTTAGGCTGCCAATTACAATGGTGTGGTGCACTTTATCATACAAAGCATTGGGTTTTCTGCAACCCAAAAAACAAATTGAGGCTAAAGGAGCAGGTTTATTTCATATTTTTACAAACCGAACATCATTTTGCCCAAATGCGGTACCACATCCAGGGCATTTCCTGTGGCGAATTTCCAGATTTCTTTGTATACACTGATTGCAGAACAGATGGTAGCACTTCACAATCACAACCTATATGAAGAATTACAAGTATATTGAGCCAGAGGACTAGTAGGAAACGAATGGGAAATAATCGCAATATCTAGCAAATTATGATAATAGGCAACGACTTCAACCTCAGGAGTAGCATAAAGATAATTGATAAGTAACCTACCTCTTTTGGTCGGTCAAAGCAAACACTGCATTTGAGAATAGACTTGCAGTCTTTTATTTCCTCCTGAAGTCTCTGGATTGCAGCCTCCCCTGTTTCAGCGGTCATCTCGACAACTCTGTCCTTCCATTGTCTGAGCTCCTCCTCAAGCTTCTTTTTGTCATTCCTGGTTTGCCACAAGCAACACTCGTTTTCTTATAAAACCATATACAATCATAAGCAAGAAAATGACAACTAATACAACTAGAATTAGGGGAAGTGCACAAACTGAACCAGTTGCAATAACTATATACTGCACCTGGGACCACAATGTATGCCTTGGTCCCAAATGAGTAAATAGGTTCTATGTTAAGGAAGATATTTTCTATTTTCATTTATTAATCTATATGTTAATTTATTAAAGCCTAAGTAATAAAAGAATTATAAGTTCAAAATTTGTGCAACTATATGTTAGCAGTGATGTATGAACTAAATACTTTTAATTATTGACAATATATAAACAATATGTTCATAATCTACATATTGAATGTGCATTATTTTAAACTACTCGTTCATTCAGGACATTCCTGGAAAAAAAAAAATTTATGTACCAGAAGACCAGAAATATTAATTTTGGTAGACTGGGGGATCAGAATTTTCCAGCCCAGTCCAATTTTGGACATGTTTTGTGATATTTAATGAATTTTCCAAGCCCGGTCGATTCCAGTACCTAGTTATGAACAATGGACAAAGATAAACATTTATCAAGCAAAAAGTTAAGATAGTTGGAACAAGCTTACATGACTTTCCTGTTACATCATGTCCTTTTCAGGTTACAGGAATAATGCATATTAGGATATGAAACTATATGTCTAACAGCAGCGTAAGATAACAAAGATATTACCTTTCACTGCCCAACTCCTTTTGAATATCGGCAGTCTTCCGTTGAACCTGTTCATATTCCTTCTCAGAAGAAGCAATAGCAGATTTAACCCATTTTAATTCCTTTTCTACATCTGATAATTCCCATTTCGCTCTCTCTAGGCTAACAATGAGGTGCCTGTCTTCTTGACAATGATTCAAGGCTTCTGACATAATAGCCTTCATCTGCAAAGAGTTGAGTCGTCACCTTGGGATTACAAAAAACTGCAAAATTTTAGCACAAGATCGAATATGGAAATATACCTGCTCCTCACTCCTAGAAATTCTTGCTCTAAGAGATTCTAATGATGCATTAACTGATTGAAACTGCTTAGCCAAGGCTTGCTTTTCTGTGAGAAGTGTATTCACAGCCTGCTTTGTCTTCACACTTTCAGACACCAGCTAAATACACAGCACAACAGTAAATTACTTAGCACATATATAAAAATAATAATAATAATGAGACCAAATTAAGCACATGTGACTAGCATTACACCTTAATATTGTAATCATCTCTCTCAGTCATCTGCAACAAGAGATGTTGATTTTGTGTCTGCATATCTTCATATGCTTGACCAATCGTCTGCAATATAGAAAAAGAAAAAAAAATCAGTGATAAAACCACTAAAAAAGAGGAACACTTTGAATGCCAAAATCTTTGGGGAACAAACGAAGGATGAGATGAAAACCTCAATTTCAGATATATAAGCTTCCGCCTCTGCATCCTTTATTTTAATTGCTTCTGTCAGTTCACAAACTTCCCTGCAGATAGAAAAGTGATTTGTAACTTTCAAAGCCAACAAAGATGTACTCAATGCCTACTGTTTATCAGCCTCGAGAACATGCCAAATTTCACATAAGTAGCTTTCTGTTTCAAACCTTTAAGAGGCCAACTAATATATTTCCAATAGAAGTCCAAAAAGACAAAATCCTTGCTAACTTGCAATCAAGGGTAAGGCTGCATACTACAGAATTTGATATCAAAATGATCCATCATACTTGGGAATGCTGAAATATGGTTAGTATTTACCTCTGTATTCAACCAGAAATCAGGAAGAAAGAAGGTAGAACACACCATCTGGGCAGGGTTCATTTCTCATTAAAGGTTTCATTATGGAATCTGAAGCCCTCTACTCTAAAACAAAAAGAAAAACATATAGCCACCTTTGCCTCTTACATAATAATTTTCTACAAAATATATAGCCACAGTACTACTTCAATCCTAAACAGAGACAAATATACACAATGTTGGAAGTGTCCCACTGCACAACCTCACTTAACTTGTACGCTAGTCAACTCTTCTCTTGTCGAGAGTCTTGACCCAGAGCCCAACAACAGTTATGGGCTAAAAATGGATTGCCTTAACCGGCTTAATGTTGCAGAGCGTAGCATGATGAAGTCAGAGGTGTTGCAAGCGAGTGGGAGCCAAGGAAGTGGGCAAGTGATATGAATCTTAGTCAAACAATATGAATCTTAACCAAAAATAAATGTAGCCGATAGAGAATAGACTCAA